CCCATGCTAATGCATATCAATTAGTTTAAATACAAGTAACAGTTAATATTAATACTTTAACCCATGTGAAACAATTGAAATTAGAAATTTACAATTCAGCTCACATAATAGCATTTACTTAGGAAACAATTCTTTTAACACTTTTTATATAAAGAGAGTTGGTCACACAAATCATTGACAAACATATTAGCAGAAATTAAGACTAAACTCAAGATGTCATCATTATGGACTCAATATAGACATCAAGTGCCTTTACTCACTATATGCATGATCACACCTCCCTTATATTCTCTTTATTTCTCTGACATGAAACCATATGCTATAATTCAATAGGATAGTTTATAATCCTTAACTTCCCTAGCCTAAACACTTGTAAGGGGATTACCCAGTCAAGGCACACCCAACTCACTTATAGATCACGATTTTTCCTATTTTTCACACCATAGAGTGTCATACACCCTAGACTAGCCTCCTCAGAATCGACGGATAGCTAGCTAGGTTTGAGTCCCTCGTTGAACTAGTGGAATAGTCTTTCATTGAATAAGTAGGACAATATAAATAGAATAAATCCAGGCAAACCATCACATGGATAGGCCTTACCACGTGGATTTTATTATATACTCCACTTTCTAGGCGAGCTCCCACATCTCAAGATCATGTAATGTACATTTATGCCTTAACTCACATATATACAGTTAATAGAACTTCATCTTATCAATTTTTATTAAACTTCATCATTACACAATCATTGAACTTCTCAATCACATTTCATGAAATTTCAAAATGAATAAGTCGTTGAACTTCCAACTTCACAATCATTATACTTCACACTTTCAAAATCATTAAACTTCTCTTAAATAAAGATTCATATTACTTCTCAATTTACAAAATCATTGAACTCCCAATAAATATTAATACGAAAATCCACCACTATTGTTCTCAGGAAAATTTTATATCACAAGGCATAAAACTCACAAATTTGATCTAGTGAATTTCCTAAAAAATTAAACCACACTTGCATTTCTTTTTATTTTGCACATTTCAATGATAAATCATAAATCAATAAACTAATAAACATACAAAAGTATGAGATAGAATTTTTCTAGTTACCTCAAATCTTTGAGAGATCAAAGGTTTTACCTCTCAACTACTCACTCCCAAAGCTTTCAAGAAGCTTGAATGGTGTCAATGGTAGTTACACTATAAGCATTTACCATGCAAAATATCAATATCCATTTTTGAGCTATTTTCTATTAACATTTCATCATTTCTTAATACTCAAGATTTATTCTTGACTCATGTAAAAGTACTCATAAGGCTTCTTAGCTTCCTTTAACTCTCATTAATAACAATGACCTCTTAAATAGGCATCAATAAAACCACATTATTCCCAACCACCAAATTTATGAGAATTTCAAACATTTAATGTCCTCCAACTACCAATCATCATAAAACCATAAATACCAAGTTTACTTAACTCAATCTACTCTCATTAACTCTATTTAAGTCAATAGGTTTGGACCCATAACTTCTATAAACTGAAAATCATCATTAACAATCAAACCCTAACATCTATCATCAAGAAAATAGAAGAAGAGAGAAAGATTTAAGCAAGGAAGCTTACCTTTGGTGTTTATGAGCTCTAATTTACTCTCAATAATCAATTTCTTCAAGCCCTAACTTAATTGTTTTGTCTCTCTCTCGGTTCCCTTTGTTTTCTCTTCTCTGCTACTTCAGGTTCGCGACTTAATACTGTAAAATTTTGACTATGCGCCACGACGAACTCACAATGGGCTATGGTGTACGGCACAGAGGGCCTCCTCCAGGCATGTTGCCACGCATGTGCCATGGCGGACAGACCACAAGCCGCGGCACATCACACAAAATCACTTCCTTCAGAAATTCTTCCTTTTCCATTTCTAGGTTATCCAATTCTCCTTCGAACCCACGTTTAAAACTGAAATCAAGACGAAACACGCCCATCAGGCTTCTTTGGCCACACACCTCACAAATACACTTAATTAGTCTATTTGAACTTAATTAATCTTGATTTAAAATTGATGATGTTACAACAACTCTGTGACCAGGCTTGCCACAAAATACTTTATCATGTTGTTTTGTAAAACATAACACAGGGTCATAAAAATAACAACCATACACTGTTAACACATGCCAGACCATAAAACTAACAACCATGTGGCTGGACCTATATGCATGATCATATGCCAACTTTATATCCTCTTGTTACCTCCGACACAAAACCAGTGGCTATCACATGACTATATCCTTCATGAACTAACCCAGCCTTCTATTTGTAAGAAGCTACTGGGCCAGGGTTAACTCACTCACTTATGTAATTTGATTTCCCCCAATACTAACAATTATCGGATGTCGTACCCTTAATCTAGCCTCCTTATGAATTAGTGAAGATTAGTTAGGTTTGAGTCCCTCATAGAATAAGTGAGACAGTCCCAAATCAACCATGAGATAAGGGCTACCTTTTGATTTTAACAGTCGGTGACAAGGCTAGTTCCTAATTCTAATAGTTACTACTAATACCACGTGGATTTAAATCAACTGACTCCTTTCCCTATGTGAACTCCTGTCAATGATCATACTATGCACATTTCTCACATAATATATATTTAAATAATAAATTAATAGTACATGGACTCACACAACTCAAATACTCCACAAGCTCCAAATATAATACATCATAATTTTTCACCCATAGTAATAATCACAATCAATTTTGTAAAACACCAAGGGTGGCATAATCAAGGTTTTCCTTCCAAAAATCATTTCACAAATCAAACACTTTGCCAATATGCATCATTAATTTAAATCATAATTCACATTTCACAAACACAGTTAATATTTAACTATAAAGATTAAGTTTTTCCCTGTTATCTCAAACCTTTGAGAGGTCAAAAGTTTACCCCTCACTATAGCAACTTCCTAAAGCTTCAACAAGCTTGAATGGTGACAAGATTAACCATACTACAATCATACCACAAGAATATCATCATTGTCTCAATCTTGAGAATTTATCAACACATAACTCCAAACACTCTATTTTTATTAAGTCATAGTTACTACCCATTCATACCCAATGAGCTCATTAGGTTTTATTAATGCACATTATCACTAATAATACCTCAAACCATCATTAATGCACATAAACCTTTCCCAACTACCATATTTATGTTAATTTTTGGATATTAAATGCTCCCATAGACCAAAAACTTTCAAAATCATCAATGTGGTATCCCAATACTTTAAACAACTCCCATTATAATTATTTTAACTAATGGAATCAACCTATACTCTTATGGGTCGAAAATCCATCTTTTAACTTAAACCCTACCATAACTCATCATAGATAAGGGAGAGAAAGGAAGAATAAGGCACTATAAAATAACCTTAGGTGTTTGGGAGCTTCAAAAACATCAATAATGGAAGCCAATATCGTGCCCTAGCAAAGCTTAAGTTGAGTTCTTCGTTTTCCTCTCCTCCTCTTCTTCTATTTTTGCACAAATACGAATTGATTTATCAAAAATTTTGTCCATGCATCGCGACGCACACTACCCTCCGCCAAGGCACATGACATAGAGAAGCCTGTTATTTAAATTTATCTCTGTGTGCCACAACGAACCAACCACACGCCGCGGCATGTGGCACAAAGGACAATTCTTCACTTTTTCTTCATCTTTCCTTGTCCAGGTAGCCCACCATTGATCCAAAACCACTTTTAGGGCTGAAATCACCACAAATACACCAAGTTAAGCTCCTCTGATCACACATCTCATTAACTCACTAATTACCCTCATTAGATTAATAAATCAGGATTAAATTTTCCTGAATGTTATAAAAAGAGTTTTTTTAAACATCTACATCACCTTGATTAAATGTCAGATGGAGAAATGAAATACGTTGGAATTTGCCTGTGGGCTATCAAATGATATTTCTTTACTGTCAAAATTTTGTACAGCGTACTGCAACGTATAGCGTCTACATCGCGGCATGCGACACAAAGAAGAACAAGCCACAATGCATATGCACATGTCACGCGCGTTCCTATGTTTCCACTCTAATGTTTTTCAACTAGTTTTAAGTTTTTTTTATTATCAAATGATATCACATACTTCCATAATTATTTATTCTTGAATTTTGACTTGATAGATTCACTTTTGATTGGTTTTACTAAAACTTAAACTTGGGATCCCAATTTTCAAAAGAAGTACTTTTAGTTTTTGAATTACTTGTAGATGGTTAATCATAGTTGGATAATCCTCTTATGTTGATTTCAAGATTACTAGGGTTGAGTTGTCTAAGAGTTGGATTAATAAGGGTGACCTTACAGTAATTAATGAATTACAATTGTTAGCAACAGTACCAACAAATAATTAAAAAAATAGTATTTTTATTTTACAAATTTTCACACACAATTTATAAGTCAACTTTTGATATTTACACATTTTTTAAAAAAATATAACTTAACTAATATATCTGTTATTTATAAATGAATGTATTTTTTATATTGGCTATAAAATTTTGAAGGATGACTTATAAACTTTGAAAAAAGATTTATAAATTATCACAATTTTAGGAACTTAATCAATATTAAGTTGAAGGTTTAAAAATTAAAATATGCCTTTAACCCTATTATACATATTAAATCTCTATCAAATACATTAATTATATTTTATATGGGCATTGGAAGAAAGAGGAAGCCTCTAGGCTTGGAGCCCAAGAATTGAAAATTTTATTATATATATTAAATCTCTACCTAAGACATTGATTAGAGTTTACACGGGGCACTGGAAACAAAGAGGAAAGCACAAGGCTTGGAGCCCAAGAATTGGAAATTTTAATTATTTATTTTCTGTAAAGCACCCACAAAAGTATTACGTGTCAACCAAGTATTGAGGGAGACACATGCAAATGTTTATATTATATAGCTGAGAAGTGGGACTCGCGGCACTTCACGCATTTCCAAAACTTTTTGACTTTGCATGTGGAATAGTACGTATGACCAAAGTCCAAAACATTCGCAATTTCGCATGAAACGACACCGTCGCGATGGTCGCTTCTATAAGATCAAGATGAAGCGGAACGGCAAAACGGCACAAGACACAGTCAAAGACTCTGTGTGGCTTCGAAAAGATGAATGATCAGGACGCGGCGGCGCCGGTGCCGAGGGTGAGCGTGGTGGTGTTCCTCCTGAAGGGAAGATCTGTACTCCTAGGTCGGCGAAGCTCCTCCGTCGGCAACTCGACTTTTGCTCTTCCCGGCGGCCACCTGGAGTTTGGTCACTCTCTTTCCCCTTCTCTTTCTTGATGATTGTACCTGTTTGTTTCTCGGGAAATTTGAATTTTCTTTCTTCTGGGTTCAGGCGAGAGCTTCGAGGAATGTGCAATCAGAGAAGTGAAGGAGGAGACGGGAATGGAGATCGCGAAAACGGAGTTCATAAAGGTGACGAACAACGTGTTCCTGGACGAAACGAAGCCGTGTCACTACGTGACCATCTTGATGCGAGCCGAACCGGCTGGTGCAGATGAAGAACCGAAGAACATGGAACCAAACAAGTGTGATGGATGGGAGTGGTATGAATGGGGAAATCTTCCGAAACCTCTGTTTGGACCATTGGACAAAATGGTCAACGAAGGTTTCAAGCCATTCCCTCCCTGATTGGCTGATTCTTTGTTTTTATTATTGTTAATGACGATGATTAGTTTATCTGCAATTCTGGTTCAGCACTGCTAACCAATGAAGCTTATTGAGATAATTACTAGCTATGTGTGATTGTGAGGCTTATGAATTTCAGCACAATATTTAATCGAAGATTTAAAAAAGTTTGTTTTTTTTTTTAATTTCACGCAAGATTAATTTTTTGCTGAAATATTTTTGCTTTTTTATTAAAATATCAAGTAAAAAAAAAGTTAGAATACATAAGGTTTAGCAAGTCTTTAAATGGAAGGGGAATTAAAGAAAGAACAATTCTACATAATATTAAGGGCTACAAAAGAGGAAAAAATGGCTAATTTATGAACATCCCGGATCAGCTTTGACTGATGCTTTGAACAAAGACAATGGAAAAATTCTGTTTAAAATAAAGAACAGGGCTGCTTGATATGGGAAGACTAGAGCATTAAATGGTGAAAAATCCTGGTCAAAATTTGTTTTAAATATTCTTGTTATTAATGCTTAATACAATTTATTAATTTATAAATTTGTAAATGCACCATTAAGTGCGTATGCATCATCCTTTAAGGGGTAGAACTAAAAAAGAAAAAAACATTTACAAAGTGTCTTTAATAAGATTGTTTCTAATAGAAAATAATAAAAAAAAACCTTTACAAAAATACATACGAAAATTTGTAGAATTTGTTTGTGTTCAACACTAAAATTTTGACAGTTATCATTTACATACAAGGCAAAAGGAAGTACCTGAATTGGGAAATGAGGGTCATAGGTAAAAAAAAAAAAAAAATGATGGCTGATTTTGTTGGATGGACAAGCTATCACTTCAATCATTAGAAATGAATAAAAATAAATAAATAAGTCATTTTAGCTGCCAGCTTGCATTTGTGCGGGTTGGACGAGGTTTTTCTGGAGTATGAATTTTAATATTAAAAAGTCTTATGAAATGTATAAATAATTTTAAAATTTTACGAATTTTCGTTGTAATTAAATTTTAACATGTATTTACAACAACAACAAAACCTTCCAAACATTCACATCCCTTCCAGCATTTACCAAAAAATCATTTGTACATTTCATGAGATTTTTAAAATATTAAAATTCATATATGGGACTTTCGTGTGTTTTTCCTTATAGTTTTTGCAGGCAAGCTCCCACCTAACCAACAAAATGCTAGGCCATATTCCCAAAGCTGTGTATCAAATTATTAAAGATCCAGCCCATGTTATTTGAGTTTGTTTGATTTTGTTCTCATTTTTTGTTTTAAAAAACTATTTTATATATCACTTTTTAAAAATTGTTTTTCAAAACAAAAGGAAATTTTGTCTGAATACATTAATTTAAAAATAATTTGAGTTAAAAAGATCAACTGACAATGATTGATATTGGTTAATGGCGATGATTTTTAGTATAGTTGGCCATGGCTGAGAATAGTTGCAATCCAAGGTGACCAATGATGGCTAGACTTGGCTGCAGTAGTAACTGCTGGCAAGGTCCCCAAAAGTTCCGCCATTTCATAACACAGGGAATTGCAGCAAGACGATAAACTTCCAAGTTCCCTATTCACACAAAGGCACACATATATTAGTGTACAATTATAGAGGCTTGCATATGATTGATGATGTGGCATTGCAAAGGTAATAAGGTGCGCATTTAGCTTTGGAATAAGGATTGAAAACTACAAATTGTTAATAAGAGTGTTCCCTATCATATTTTTTTATGATTAATATACACACACACTCTCTAATATAAGACGAAAAGAGAAATTTTTTTTTTTTTATTCCTTTGATCCTATTTATATGATAGGAGAATAATTTATTTTAGTTCTATTTATAAGGTATCTTAATGATTATTATATCCAACTTCACACTTTTACCTCTGTTAAATGTTAAGGAGGTTATTAAATATTAAAGTATTTTATTTTTAAAAGTATACATATTTAATAGAAATAAATTTAAAAATTTATTAAAGTTTTAGATAGAGTTAATAAAATTTAAAATTTTACTTGATTTCAGTGAAAATGTTAGAAGTGACTTATAAATAAGATAAAAAAAATGCATTTACAAATATGCCATTGACTTTTTATCATAAGTTTATTCTTTTATCCTTATGAAATTCTAGTGAAAAAATTTGTTATTAAAACATATATATTTAATAAAAACAAAATTAAAAACTTGTTAAATTTTTATACAAAATTATTGAATTTTAAAATTTTCATGAGCTTTAGTGAAACATGTTAAAAATAATTTATAAAGGAGTATATAATTTTACTTTGCCAATTCTTAATTTTTTTTTCATATATTATATAATTATTTATTTTCTATTAAAATTTTTTGATGCCACCGTAACATTGACCCTGATTCAGCCCCTTATTGCTAGTGATGGTAGTTGACAGCAACAATCAATAGTTATAGTCGATGATGAATGTTGGTTGACAATACTTGACAACAATAGCAGCAGAGATTAGTAGCAGTAATTTCCAATAGATAGATTAGTATGTTACCATGTTTTAAAAACAAAGAAACGAATTTTGTTAAAGACGTTTCTATTTTTTATTTTCAAAAATAAAAAATTAGAATAGTTTTAAAACATTTAAATTCAAAATACTTGCTCAAAACAAGTTTTCTTTTTGTTTTAGAAAACTGAAAACATTTTAAAAATAAAAATCAAACATAATTTTTCGCTTCTAAATATTATAATCACGTGAGAAGTGTAATGTTAATGTGAGAAAACCTTTAGCGGAGACATCATGTTGCAGTACATGTCAACACTTCTCGGTTGCATGTAAAATGACTCTCGTGAGATTATACACTGAAGAGATATATTGAGGGTCGGCAATGCCGAGGAAACTTGATATTAGAACCAAAATTGAAAGAGAAAAATATTAATCAATCAATAATATGACTAGGACTCTTGCAAGATCTTTCCTTTTGATTCACTTCAAGATGCTAAAGATACTCTCACATTATATTAATCAAAATCACATTTTAACAAAATTTAACTAATATCCAATCAACCACCACAACCCTTGGATCTAGGATGTGTCCCTGAACCTCCAAAAGTAATAACAGTCAAATATTTCTATTCCAGTTTGAAAATAGCAAATCCTGTGGTGCTACCAACTAATACAACCTCTCTTAAGCTAGTGTTTATTTCCTGGGAAAGGGGGGAAAATGATGCACTAACTTCTTGAAATTTACCTCATCATTTGAAAGAAAAATACACAAAAAATTTGGGAATAAAAGGAAGCATAACAGCTTTCGTGAAATCTACAAGCCTTCCCTACATTAATTCCCTTCCCCTCCATCCCTCGCTCTTTTTCCCTAAAGGCAAGGTCTTTTGAGTATGTCAATGTGAAGACTTATTTGTGTCTCGATCAAAGGCCTATCACCTATGTGAGGTTTGGTGCTACAAAATCTGGTATCAATAAAGAAAAGAATAACGTTAAGGGAACTCTTCTTCCAGAAAATGACCTACTGATTAAAAAGATCACTGACTTTCACAAAGGAATCTTTGGTAACGAGACATTGTCTTCCATCTGGTTACTCAAGTGCCCCAAAACTAAGTATATGGTTTCCTTCAGAGGGTGTGATATATCAGATACAGTAAAAGCATGGACCTCATTGTCAATTTCAATCCAACTAATGGCCAGTTCTTTTTTCACACGTCTCTCATCCATAAGCTGTCTTACTTTCTCCACCAATTCCCATTTTCCAAGTACAGCATATACACTTGAAAGCATAACATAGGCGGCAGAAGATTTAGGCTCCAATTCAATAAGGTGTTCGGCTGCTTCTCTTCCTATGTCTATATTTCCATGAATTCTACACACACCAAGCAACGCATTCAAAACATGTTCGCCTGGTTTACAATCCATCTTCTGAAGATGCTTCATCAATTCATTGAAACATCCAGCTCGCCCCAAAAGATCAATAAGACATGCATAGTGTTCTTCGTCTGGAACTAAAGCATGATCACGATTCATGGAATTGAAAAACTCAATTCCTTCTTGCACAAGACCTGAATGACTGCATGCATTTAGAATGACAACAAAAGTGACCCTGTTTGGTTTCACCCCCGATGTTAGCAGTTCTTTCAGCAACAAAATTGCTTCCATACCATAACCATGGTGAGCTAGTGCAGCAATCATGGTGTTCCAAATCACCACATCTTGCTTATCTCCCATGACATGGAATATTGTCTTGGCATTTTCCATGCTGCCACATTTTGAGTACATGTCAATAATACCATTAACAACAATATTATTAATTCTGATGTTATTTCGAACTAGATGAGCATGTATTTGTTTCCCGAGTTTGAATGAAGCGCTGATTGAACAAGCAGATAGACAGCTACTGTATGTAAATTGATCTGGTTTAACATGATGCATGATCATCTTTCTAAAAACTTCAAGTGCTTCATGACCCAAACCCAATTTGGCATAACCGCCAATCAAAGATGTCCATGAAATAGAATTCTTTTGAGGCATCTGATGGAAAAGTTCAGTAGCTGATTGCATATCCCCCTGATTGGCATAACCTGAAACTAATGTAGTCCACACAAAAACATCCTTGAGGGGCATTTCATCAAATAACCTCCTAGCATCTTCCATTTCACCACACTTTGCATATGCATCAAGAAGTGAACTTGATATAACCACATTGGATGAAAATCCAGCAACTAAAACTTGCCCATGGATCTGCCTTGAAAGTTCAAATTCTTTCAATTTCACACAGGCGGTCAAGACACCTGCAAAACTAAATTCATTATAGCCTATAGACAATCTTCTCAACTGTCTATAAAACCCCAAAGCCTCATCAAAGTTCCCATTCTGTGCATAACCAATGACCATTGTATTCCAAGATATACAATCCCTCTCAGGCATTTCATCGAACCATCTTCTAGCTTGATTTATCATCCCTAATTTAACATACCCAGAAAGCATACTATTCCATGAGTACAGATTTCTCACCTCCATTTTATTGAACACTTTGCATGCTTCTATGTGATGCCCACACCTGAAGTACATATATATTAAATGGTTAGCTAAAAAGGTTGTGGGTCGTTTCAGACCAGTCAGCTTCAGATGAAGATGAACTAGTTTGCCCTCTCTGAAAGACTTAGTCTCTGCACACTGCTGTAAGAGATGTGCGAGAATGCGGGATGGTAAGCGAATGCCTTTGATAACTAAGAGGTCCAAAGAAGAAACAGCTTGTGAAATTTGACCAATGGAGGAAGCTTTGAGGATGGATTTGACAATGCAGATAAGACGTTGTTTACTGGGTTTTTACAAGACGTTGTTTACTGGGTTTTTTACGCTCCGGTGTCAACTTCTGAGTGGGGAGATATGGAAATAGCATCGCACATCATAATTTAGATCAAATGACCTATGAGCATTTAATGATTAGCAAATCAGATGCATACCTAAACCTTGCCTAACAAACAGATATACTAAAATTCAAAGAAATACTATCCATGAGCAGCCTACTCTTTTTTTCTTCTGTTTGTCCAATAGGAACACCCAGAACAAAAACCAATTAAATATCACATGTGGAGGTAGAAAAGTACCTTCACTGGGTAGCCCTTCTCCATTATTTTTTTAACCACATCTGCTTTCATCTTCAGGTCTTATAATTCCTGAGAAGATAAGATGAAAATGTCAAAACAAGAAATTTACCTTTTCTTCAAGTTCATTAGATAACAAAGAAACTCAACATAGAATGACAGGAAACAAAGATGTAGTAAGGAAGAAGGAATATAGAAAGCGAACTTACAGCATTTGTGAAAAAGCACATTTCCTTGCCACCCCTTTTTCTCAAACTCAACTCTGACAGCATGTGATAAATAATATATTAAAACAACAACAACAAACCTTATCCTATTAGGTGACGTCGGCTATATGAATTATGCGACACAATAAATAACATTAAAACAACTCATATACATGAGAACTATCTTTTTAAATTAGAGTAACAAAAATAGGTACAAAATATTAAATTATACCCTCCTATTCTTTTACAAAATCCTAATCTTCATCTATAATTTCTACTAGTAAACAGCAGCAAGCACATGGTGCCTTGCAATTAGCACACTCCTTTTCCCTTTCTTTCTGTTTGTACTTTTCCTTGTGGTAGTCCATAATTTTGCAGATCAGATGGTTTTGCATTTTTCTGAACTTGCACAACATTATCAAAATCATAGAGGCTGCAGTGAAAGATTTGAGAAAAACAAATCTAATATACATAGTATAATTTATGAATGCCAGTAGAACCGTTCTTATGTGCTGAATCTAACCATTCTACCCATATTCTTTTTTACAAGGCTAAACATAGTGCTCAGAGTTTCTGAGAAAAACAAAAATTATATGTCAGCAAAGAGGTGAGGTGACCATTATATAAGTTAAGTATATAGCCCAAATATGAGAGATACTTCTTTTCATTGAAAGAAAATAGAGCTTCTTATTTTTGCTCAAAATTTATAGCCAAATGAAATTAGACAAAGTCTCTCTTCCTCATCTTAAGATTGAAGACTCAAAGTCCAACCCTCACACAATACTTTAATAGTTCCACAAATATAGCCAAAATCAATAAAGCCTTCAGCATACTAAAATATTTTGTTCATTGCCCATTTCAACTCAGTGCTTCTGTTTACGCATTTGAATTCTCAGATAGCATGGAAAAAGACCTAAAAAATTTACCTCCACCAAATCAAGCTTGAGCCTCCTAGTGCGTTGCAGTGCTTCAAGCCTCAAAACAATTGAATGTCCTGCATTAATACAAAAACTTGCTTGCACATTAACAAGCTCCCAGATATGCAAGTACTGATCTTTGCAATTCCATTGTTAATTTAAAATAGTATAATACCACACATGTCTATACTCTGTGTTTCAGACATCAATCATTTATTATACGCGCATGAATATAAATCCTTTACCAGTCTTATCCTAACTTCCTAAGCATGCTCCATACTATATTCTTGTTAATCTTAGCCACAATTGCTTAAAAAAAGCAAGAGAAAGCAATTGTTTATGATAGTGAACGAATCTCATTAAATTGGCTGGTAGCTTTATGTTCTTGCAAATTTTTAAAACTACAATCCACAGTTTTAGCAGTTTACCCCTTTCAATATAAGATGATTGATCTCAGTATATGGCTGCACTTGCAATCCCCTTCTCCAAATTAGTAATTAACAGCCAATACAACCACACCCTAATAAGTTGATGTTTGATTACCAATTGAATTATAATCATTCTTACTGAAGGTATTCACTATTAGACTGAAAAGAGCCGTGCCGTGCCCACAACCACGGCAACCATTTTACAAAAATAAACGATTTACCTTAGCGATATGAGGACGAGTAATATATTTACCATCACCAACAACAAGCCTGATAAAATGAGCAGTGATTTCTTCATTTATTCGCGGCTCACCGTTGTCCTTCTTCACCTTCGCCTGAAAACCAAGAATGCACCATCAACTCATAACATCAAGGAGAGCCATCTAAACCATACATGGCTATCACAACACCATACCCCTGTTATACACACCTGAAAATCCATTGCACTACCTTACTGGATAAAGAACCCATAACCAATTCCGCCAGAACAAACAACGACATGCCTCAACATTGAAAAACTTACTCCAAGACACATCACTTATCATGGTTCCCAAGAAAAACATCACCAAGTTTTTTGTCACCGTAGAAGCCAAAAAAAAAAACTGCAAACTTACCCAAACAGGGGCAGCCAAAAACCTTGCATTATCATAAACATCAGTGGATCTATTTTGAAAAATCCAGCTTGGGTGGACAAGATATTCAACTTAGATTGCCCAATTCGACACCAACGAATACGCCATCACTTATGTGCAGTGAAAGAGGCATGGAAACTAAATAGACCATTACTACTATACTATTCGCTTGGCAGGAAGGTTAGTAAAGTTAGCTTTACAATTACACGCAGCTTTACCAGCCACCCCTTGCGCGCTCAGGGAAGGGAGAAGGAAAGCCAGCGATGCTCTGCAAGTCATGGAATTGGAAGGAAACTGATTGCGTAGCTAGTCTCTAAATGGGCCTGACTCCACCTCTGGGCCTAAGCTTAATAGTCCAGAAGTTGGGCTTCGTTCGCGATCAAATCGATTATGAGGAGGAGGATCAAAGCCTAATTTGCACATGAAGAAGCACAGATCGATGCATACCCGATCTGAATGCTGCGAGGTGCGAAGTTGATTATGAAGACGAGTTTAAGGTAGATCGACTAGATCGACACTGGCTTCGGGATCTCTAGATTGTTGACGGTGATAGATGGCTGAACCACAATTTGCACATAGGAAAATGTAAATCATGGACGAGATGAATGAGTAGGGCATGGGAATGAAATACGCACAATAGTTAAGAGAATGAGGACGGCATTGTGAACTGAAGAGGGAGGGAAGAATGTACTTCTGGAGAATGGAGAAGGCAAAAATAATATTTAAAAAATTGATAAAAACATGTTAAAAATAAAAGATTTATGAATAAATAATTGAAAAATACTTAATTCATCTCAAATTATAAGATTATTTAATAAGATTACAAATAGCAAAAAAATATGATAATAATATTTTACAAATTTTTTTCCTAAAAATAAAATTATAAACATTTAAAAATGTTTCTGTACTATACACTTGGGGTATATTTAAGAGTATATAATAAAATGAAAAGAACAACCATTAATAAAATATAATGGAGTGTAGTGGGATGGGATGAAATGAAATAGAACGTTTTATTGTTTGTGAATTTTATTAAAAAATAAATAATTTTATTTAATTATTATTTAAAAATAATTATATAAATTACTTTGAATGAAAAGATAGACTTTCATATTTTTTTTTAATTTTATCCTTTCTATTAGTCAATTTCTTTTTTACTTGTTTCTTCTCCAAAAAAAAATCAATAATTCAACTACTTTTATTTGATTGTGGTGATGTAATTAAAAATGATTTATATATAGAATTAAACATAGTAAATGATAGTAAAATAATTGGGAGAAAAAGTTGATCAATTGGCATTGAATTATATATTTCTTAAATAACAATAACATAGGGAGTACGCACAACACACAAGTGTACGCAGTACTTATTCATGATATCCCTAAAAAGGAACATTACATTTACATGTGAGTGGAAAGAAGTCTTATTCCAACATACACACACATAAAATATACAAGATGGCTTTATTTAGGTTTTCAATGATGAAAATGATCACCGGCTAATTGGCATTGAGTGGCTTGTACTTTGAAGGTGGCTTGTATTTTAATTAAAATAATATAAAATTTAAAGAATATATATATATATATATATATGCAAAATAAAAATATTTAAGACAATATTTATTCATGCTTCTTATAATACATGGCAAGTTTATGATTAATCCTACCAACATTATGATAAATATTATTTTTTTCATCACAACTTACCAAGATTTACAAGATATTTTAGTCTAAACTTTTCAATTTCAAACATAATTAGTATGATTAACAAACTTTTTAAAACTATGGGAGTTGGTTAAAATTTGCTTATATTTAAAAATGGAGGGAGTATGTCACATTAATTTTGTAACAAACTAATACAAGTTTCCATGACTAATAAAAATTACCATTGAATCACACACACACACACACACACTTTATAACACTGGAGAAGAACCAATCACAAAAAATATATAAACATAAAATAGTATTGTTTTGGACTATTGAGATTTTAAAAAAAAAAGTGAAAAATTGATTCTTAACCAATTTTATTAATTTTCATTATCTTGATGGACTCTATAACCAATTTTATTAATTTTCATTATCTTGATGGACTCTATCTTAGTTATTCATTTTTCTTCTAGTTCTTATAGTTGGTTAGACCAGACTAAAAACTTGTTATTAGTTGAACTAGCTATCTTATTCAATTCTAACCATCATGGTGTTATTTCCAAGCCATTTGATGACCTATTTGAAATTGGGATTGAAGTTTGGGTAGGGGAAAATTTTAATTCCACTTTTGTCATTGAAGAGTTGAACATATTGGAATTCAAAATTTGAATTTCAATATTTCCTATGTTTGTTTTATAAGAAGGCCTTAGCAACTATGTTCATGAGATTAAAAAAATATTACAATTAGTTAAATGCTTGCAAAAAAATTTAATTTACAACTTTTCAAAATCATCATTGATTGATAAAATCATTCATTAGGGAAGGGAGAAAAGATAAAGAAAAGCTATCAATTAAACTAGGAGTTAAAGAGAGACAAAGGTGTTTTTAAAAACTAAGTTATAAATATTTTATTAATTTAAAAAAAAAACCTTAAAGGACCAGCGAATATTGTCTTTTGAATAGGAGTAGAGGAGTGTTTAATTCAAAATTATTATTTGGAGCCCATTTGATTGATAATAGTTAATTTTGCTAAAATTTTGTCCATGATGATGTTATAATCAAACTGACTAATTTTGGGAGAATGACATTGAAGACTCTTAAGGAAATTCATCACAATAAGAGCTCATTAGTTTTGCATCAAATAAATATATATATTGTCTTGTAAAAACATGTATATGTTGTTATTAAGAGCTAAACTTTAACTTGCATTTTTTGTTAGGTTTTCTTATAAATTAATAAGTTAATGTTCAATTTTTTTTTAATAACGACATATACATATTTTCACAAGACAATATCTAATACAAATTTGATATGTCCTTATGGCAACAAATTTCCCTGAGAGATCCTTAATTGCAATTTTTCCATTAATTTTTACCATCATACATTTGCTTATATATTTACTTAAAATAAGGTTAGATTATAAGTGTTACAATAGTACCACCTAATTTTTTTTTTATAATATACATTGATATTGATGTTGATGATTTTTTTTTAATTGTCATGCAAACCTTCCTCAGGGGACAATATTATGAGTCCAATTTCATGAAGTCTCATAAGTGAAATGGAGATTATGAGTTTATGAGACTCTCCTTTTTAATAGGTTAGTCTTTTAAGATAAAAGTTAACTTTTAAAATTTTATGTCATTCACTCATTTGAACATAAATTTTTTTTTAAATTTTAATATATTTTTGGCTCAATTGTATATATTTTGATTTCTCAAATTTAGAAAATGTGATGTAAATACAACTTTATATTTATTCCAATTAAGGTATTCAATTATAACTGTCTAAATCGATATTTTCAATTTATTTTTCAAATAATTTTTTTGTAATGTAAATATCATCAAATCAATCTTTGATGTGTAAGTGTCATTCCTCCGACCTCATTAATTAATTGCATCGAATTTCTTCTCTTTAAACTTTTATCTTCAACTCCACTCATTTTTGTATCTCTATCTTTTATATCTTTCCATTTACGATAATCTTGATCAAGCAGTACACACTTTTGCATTTTTCCTTTAACTTCGGATCACATCACATTATATAATATTGAACGGTACCGATCAAAATAATGGACCGGATAAATTAACTAAATACTTAATGTCATGCAATTATTGAACGTATGGAAAAACAAAGGAAAAACTTGGCTGTGATTCAAGAGGACCAAGGGAAACTATTATATGCAAGGGTGTTGAAGTATTGACCCCATTAGCATTAAGTATCACTTGAAGTTGATGCAATCTTGTTATTGGACTTTTAATTGGTTTGTTTATCTTGGGCTTTTCTGGGCTCCAATCAGGCCGAAAAATTTATTGTATTTGGGCCTTCTGGTTTTAATCAAAAACGAAACGTAGAGATGGCAATAATTACATAAACTAAACCAATGAATGTTGGGTTTAGTGCTGTGATGAAGCCCCAGCCCACGTGTATTTTTTTTTTTGGGGGGGGGGGGTATGGGAAAAATGCCATGTATAGATAGAGATATGAGTTTTTATATTTTACAGTTTGAATCCTCTTATTCTTGTACTTTGCACTCCT